ATGTTTGCCTTCCCCCTCATCTACAGCATCTTCCAGCTCGTGTCAGCACTCGTCTTTGTGGGATGTAAGACCTTAAAACAAACAACACATACATTGGCCATTTTCTCCTGCATCGCTTGACTTTTTTTTAGTTCTTGGTCAGTGAATGCAGCTTCCTTATTTTCCTTCTTTTCGTCCATTGTGATGTTTTTTTGCTGTGTTGAGTCAACAGATTGAGCCAGGTGCTGTGCCATATAAGGATTAAATATTTAACCCAAGTTTAACCAGTAATAGAGTTGCAGCATGCTTCATGCTTCTCTGGTGGTTTATCTGTGTCAGAGATCAAGTATCATAACACCTATGACAGCAGCGGTGATGCCCAACTAGCTGCCACACAAATATCAGCTACAGGTACCCCTTTAAAAAGGGCCAAAGGGGCTGCCATTCCCTGATGGAATGAGCTCTCACTCCCTGGGGCAAAGCAAGACCTTTGGTGCTGTACGCCAGTGAGCTTGCTTCTATAATCCAGTGGGACAGCCTTTGTCTGCTTCACCAATCCAGCCAGAGGTAGAGCTCTGTGTAAACATACAGCTGGTAACATAAACACACATTCTGAGTGCTCTCAATGTGGGTACGTAGCACACACACTGGACAAAGAGAATGCATCCTCCTCTGCTCCTCAGATGCAAAAGGAGGGAAGCAAAAGCTCAGCAACTCAAACTCCATTCAGTTATAAGATGCAGGCTTGACCTTGGGAAAATAGGCAGCATTCGGACGCAATACGACCTTATGGCCATCAGGAGAGAACTGTGCAAGAGGGATGCACTGCAACGCATGTAGGTCACCCACTTACTTTGCTGAAGCCAAAGTGAGAACTGATGCAGTCTTATATGAGAGAAATTTCATATCCACAGACTCAATGGGTTCAAAAGAGGGGCTACATATGCCTCCAGCACTAAAGAAAAGTCCCAAGCAGGGACACTGGACTTAAGCACAGGTCTCAGCCAACAAACCCTTTTCAGAAAAGGTATGGTGAGGGGATGTGCACCTGGTGTCACCCCGTCAAAGCCAAAATGACAAGCAGATATAGCTGCTAAATAAACCTTAATCGTTGAAAAAGAAAGGACCTCATCCAGCAGCTCCTGCAGGAATTTCAAAACATTCACAAAAGAGCACTGGAATGGGACAGTGTGGCGGTCCTGGCATCATTGCTCGAAGGCTCGCCATTTCTAACAGTACAAGCCTCTAGTGGATGAGGCCGTAGTGTTCTGAATTGTCACTATCACACTAGGTAGCAGACCCTTAGCAATCAAGTTTGACCTCTCAGCAGGTAAGCATGAAGACGCCACAGATCCGGGCGCAAATGAATTATTTCTCCTCCCACCTGAGAGAAGAGGTCCCTGCGGAGGCTAAGTTGACTAAGTTGCCAAGGACTCACTGCTAGCAGGCTGATTATCTCTGAATACCAAGACCCTGTGGGCCATCAAGGGGCCACTACAATCAGTCAGAGAGACTGCCGACGCAATCTCTCTAAAATTGGAGATATAATTTCCACTGGGGGAAATGCATACAGGAGCATGACTGGCCATTGGTGCGCTAGCGTGTCCATGCCCAAGGTTGCATTGTGAACGATTATTGAGAAGAACAGGGGGCAGTGAATATTTACCCTGGAGGCAAAAAAAGATCTACCTGTGCATTGCCAAACAGATCCCAAATCTGAGCCACTATCAAAGGGTGCAACCTCCATTCCTTCACCAGAGTACCCCCCTTGGGGGAAATGAACACTGCACCATAACAGCAGAGAGCGAGACAGCTTTAATAGGGGAAGGGAGGGTGTCCCTCCCTGACTGTTTATGTAAGAGACTATTGTTGAATTGTCCTTCCTGTATAAGACATGCTGGCCCTCCAGGACTGGACGGAAATGTTTGAGAGCTAAGAACACTGCTAACAGCTCTAAGTGGTTGATGTGAAGATCACGCAGGGCTGCGGACCAGATCCCTCTCACTGATGCACCCTCGCACAGCGCTCCCCACCCCCTTAGGGAAGCATCTGTGGACACCACCTTGCAAAACAACACCCTCCTATCTGAGAGCCCTGATGCAGTAGCCTGGGCTCCGTCCAGGGATAGAGAACTAGCATGCACGATGCGATTACCATCAGCCTCCTCCAGAGGTGACGCGATGCACACAGGTGGTGAGAGAGAGTCCAGCATTGAAACACTCTCATCTTTACCAGTCTAAGTGGCACTACAGTGATCATAGATGCCATCGTGCCCACCAAATGTAATATCGTCTGGAAACGCAGTCTCTGTCCCAGATGAAACTGAGCGAAGCTATGATGAAACGCAGCCACGCAGCCAGGTGCAAGCGTGTCACTGAGGCAACTGAGCAGCCGGCTGGCTGACCTGCAGCATCAATGGCGGGGCGTTGTGTTTTTGTGTCTTTAGCACTGATGCACTAACATCTATGAACAATTTTAAGTGCAACATCTTCATGAGTTTTTATGTCACCCAGGAGTTTTTTTGTTTAGTGGGATGTTTTATTTGCTGTTATTTTTCATCCCTCACTTTTCCTTTCAATTCTACTCTCTTTAGTTTGCCAACCAAAAGGTTCTGTGTTGGGTTTAGGTAATTACAAGTATTTTAAGTAATTTAGAGAGAAAGACTTTGGTTTGGGTTAAAACAAACCCCCTAAAAATAGTAATCCTGCACATTTACCAGTGATGAGATGGACCTAACACAATCTCACTAATGCCATACCCCAGTGCAAATCGGAACACATCCGAAGGAAAGACTTTGCTTAAATTAGCAATGCCTGTGTGTTTGAGAAGATGGGGCTACTTAATGTCACAGAGGTGAGAATAGCCTTGAATAAACATAGGTTTTAATGTGTGAAAATGTGGAGTGAGGGGATGGATGGAAGTTAGAGTTCACATTGTTGAAAATGATATGGAGGCCGTCTTCTGCAGAATACCTTGAAATTTTCACTTTTCTTTCAGTCCTGGGCACCAAACATTTGAGAACAGTGGTTTACAGATTATCATAGATGCTTACTAATTTTGAAACTGAACAGAAAAGAAGACGTAGGATGCTTCAAATTTTCTTGTTATGGCATCTTGCATAGATGCTTTGTCACTGAAGTCCTGTTTATTCCACTTTTAAAGGTTTTGTCCAAAGGTGTTTGCTCACTGGTTCTGAATCTATGGTTTGTTTCCTGTCCAGGCTTCCAGCTTTACAAAAGGTATTGTGGTGGCGGTTCGTCTGCAAACAGTGACGCTCCGTACTTGGAAGGTCACAATCCTGATCTAGAAGAACAAAAGTACCGCCCACGGGAAAATGGTGGCTTTGAGGGCGATGAGAGCAACAACACGGATGTGAAGGATAAAAGCACTGACAAAAGCACTGAGCTGTGATGCAGCTCTGAAAACCAGAGATGTTCGGTTGTTGGTATGAGCAATAACAACTGCATCACTGAACACACCATTCAGACTCTACTGTGAAGACACAATGCACTCTGCAGGCTGTATGTGCACCACACTAAACCATTTGGAAAAGTTTTAGCTGAACAGGGTTGCACAAATTTCTTCCCCGGGACAGTCAGTATCTAACTTCAAGTGGGAACGTGGTGGTGACCAACTGCTGAATTATGTGTTATTTACTTTTATTCATATGTAAATATTTAGAACCACTTTGCCTGTACATTGTTAGTGTCTCTTAATGAGTGCTTCAGTGGTGGAAAACAGGGTGGTTTTTTGTTGTTGTTGTTTTTTGTAATGTGACAGTCATAATTTATTTGATATTACTGTTATTTCAAAAGCAACAAGAACACAGTGATGACAATAAAGAACAAAATGCCTTTACATCTTCCAACAACTGCTCACACTGTCAAGGCAATACACCAGACAATTACAT